AGATACTCGAAATCACCACTTGATATAATCAGTGTCTTCAAGTTAATGAAACCATTTTCATCTAACTCACTCAATATCTTGGTGTCTTCACCTTCTATTGGAATGCTACCTCCCAAGTACAGCTCTTCCAGTTTCTTCATATCCGACAAAACACCAGGTCGAAGTGGACAGGACGACTCCTCAAACCTCAAATCAAGTGACCTTATGTTGCTAAGATTCGCTAACTCAATGGAAAAATAATCATCGGAAGAAGAACCATTGAAAGAGAGAATTTCCAACTTCTTTAGACTCCCAATCATTGATAATTGGGAATGTATTTGACAGTCAATCAAGCATAGAGTTCGAAGACCCGTCAACAATTCGATTGATGATGGAATTTGAATGTACATTCCTATCAATTCAAGAACTCTGAGATCCTTCATATCTTTGAAAAATTCTTCTGAAATGTTACATCCTCCCAACTTGCGACATATCACCCGTAACAACTTAACGTTCCGATATTTCAACCCGCTTGGAAGCTGATCCAGCTTATCAAATGTAATTGAGATGGCACTGTACGATTCGGCATCGTGTTCTGGCCACTCTTTCAAACCAGCATGTTTCACCATATATCCACGTTTGTCTTCATATGCCATCTGTAAGCAAAAATCTCTGATAACATCATGCAATTTCACCTCGTCTTCCTCATCCTCACCCCGTTGCAATAAATTACAACTTTTTAGATTATGCGCAATTGAATATGCTCGATCTCTAGTTTCGCTGAGCGTCTCAGTATCTGGAAACAACTCTAATCCCCTTGCATATCTAACCAAATTTTCAATTGGAATACTTTCATCTTCAGCGAATAGAGAACATAGCAAAAGCAAGTCCCGGTCTTCATCACTTTCCAAAAACTTGTATCTCAATTCTATTCTTGAGTACACGAAATGGCGCATTCCAACAAGATTGGGACCTCTAGACTTCTGCAGCTGTTTAAGTGCATCTGTCCATTTATATAGGTCCCTTTTTTTCGGTGCTTTGCCAACAACCAGTAGTTTCCCGTCATTTCTCTTATTTTCAAGTTCTTCTCTTGGCAAACTCAATGATCGTTCATCAAAATCCAAAGATATGGAAGTGGAACCGGAGCTTGTGCTTATCGAATCTCTACGGGCCACTTCCCGATCATGCTCTCGCTGTAGCACAGCTCTCACCAACCTCTCCCAGTTGTCATAATTCCTAGACATCTCTGTTTCAGCTTCAACAACTTCAAATACACAGAAACAATTTTCAGATTAAAAAAGGAACCTGGGAGGAGCTTGACAAATCGAACAAATCTGATCGGAAATCAACAGACAAAAAAAAAATGAAGAATTGAGATTNNAAAAAAAAAATGAAGAATTGAGATTGAATTTGCAATGTCTATGCTATACTTTTTTTTTTTTTTTTTAATGTATTTAGTTGACCAGTGAATTCACAAAAGAGGCTAACGACTTATTTAACTTTTATTCCGCAAATTCTGAATGTTACTGTTGTAGAAGAACAAGTAATTGATTTGGCGTACAACTGGATCGACTGTGTATTCTGCAAGCTTCTCAGCAATGGAACAGGCCATGTCCTCTGCCATTATCAGATTCTTTTCCTTTTTGTCTTACCTTCTACTTTCGATGAGTTCAATGAAATTGCATATTATTTCCTTGGTTGGTAATGATGATTATCTCTACACAGTTATTGAGAAAATAACAATAAGAGAACATTGATAATTGTAAAATTTTAGCATTCTCTATAGTAATTATATTACATTTTAATCTTATATAAATTTACTTAAATAGACATATATAAAATTAAATAAAAATATATATCGTTCTAAATTCATACACTAATATTTATTTTCATTAAATTCTTGTGGACCTTTTTGTATTCTTTTAAAATTTATGTTTCACTAAATCCGTAATGATCATAAACTATCATCTTCACATTTTATGGAAAATTATCATTTTTTTTAAAGTAGTAATTAACATATTTTAAACTATATATAATAAAATAAATAAAAATAAAAGTCAATTGAAGGTAAAGAGCAAAAGGAACTAGACAATAATATTACCATTTCTATATCTCTAATCAGGTTACCTCCAATAAAATTACCATTTCTATATCTCTAATCCTTTCATTTTATTTTCACAAAACTCTCTCCAATCGTTACAAACTTCTAAAATATTATTGTCTAATCGCTCTGCTCTTTACCTTCAATTGAATTTTATTTTAATTTATTTTATTATGTATAATTTAAAATCTGTTAATTACTACTTAAAAACTGCTAATTTTCCATAAAATGGATGTATAGAGTCCATATCACAATAAGGGTGACGGTATGATTCATATAATCCCATCTTATAATATTTGAACAATAGAATTAATTATTGAATTGTGAGAATGTAGATGTTATATGTAACGAGGATGAATATAGTATTTTTTTTTTTAAATTTTAAAATTGTATTAGGATTATATTTAGAAAGTGATGAATATAAAGAATTTGTGTGGTTCTATATTGTTTAAATGAATAAATTTAATAAGGACAATATTGAAATGTGACATGGATGAAAATAGTAATTTTTAAAAAAAATTAATATTTAATTGGGATAGATATAGAGTGTGATGAATATATAATAACAATTTTGGATGCAAACAGAGGCTCATGAAATAAATTGTAAAATTTTTTATTTGTATTTTCTATGCAAAAGTTAGGAAGCGGAGGATTTGTAAAAGTCATTAGAAGTTATTAATATTTTCAATACCAGAGAGTTTTAAGGACTTTAAAGTTTTGATTTAAGATTTCATTACTTTTAAAAACCCAACTACATTAAATACCTCGAAACTTTTATAGTCTTAAAAAGTATATATTGAATACATCTAGATACTTCTAAATTTGTAAAAGTCGCAATTCTCGTGTTCTTTTTTTTTTTTTGGCTGTGTTCTTGGTGCATTTTGGTGCTGATAGGGTCATAATTTAGAATCAATAGGTACTTCATTCAGTAAGGATGATAACAACGCGAGACGAGGATTAAAAGATCCCCGTTTACTATCCCATTTAATTATTTATCTACATTTTTATTTGTGAAATACTATTTAAATTGAAAAATATGAAAATAAAATAAAAAGATTCGGTATGGATGAGGAATTTGAGGCACATACTATGTTTTCCATCCTTGTCCCATTTACTATTCTGGGTGGGTAATGCGGGTGGGGTGGGGTGGGGTCGGAATCTTATCATCCATATCGTTCGAAGGAGAGATTATTGAAAAAATGAGAACAAAATCTCAAATCGATTAAACGCGCATTAATGATAGACTTATAAAGGATTGACTTGCTCCACTTAATCGGTAAACATGAAACCAGTTTCCTATACTATCAAGAATAGTGGGAGAGCCTGCAAAAACTCAAAAGTGGAGATAGAGGATATTTTTCATTTCAACCCCAAAAGTGACATAGTCATCTTCCATATTCAAAAACCTACTTTTGTGATGAAAGTACGCTAAAAAATTGGTAAATTAAAAATGGATAATTGCAAAGCAAATCTAAACAAATTGATAAGTGCAATTTGTGCACTTATTCGGACCATATTATTAAACTTTTATGTCGTCAAAATGTTAAATTTTACTTAATTTAGGTCGATTTTATATTATTTCAGTGTTGGACTAGTTTCAAAGCAATTGGAAAAGAAAAATGATCAATTGACTATTAAATGGAAGTTTGTGGACTAAATGTCACTTGAATAAAAGTTGGAGGATCAAGATGAGAAGATAATGAAGAAAATGACTAACTTGCATTCCATGAAAGAATTGAGGATTTGGATAGCAAGCATTGATTAATTTGGCATCAACTTGGATTTTTGGTTGGATTAAAACAGTGGTGGCTAGGTTACACACACACGAACAAGCAAAAAGAAAGAGGCTGGAATTGGAGGCAGAGAGAATATATATACACGTATACAAAGGCTGGAATTGGAGGAGCCAGAGAGTTGGCGGCTGCTTTGGGAATTTAAAAAAATTATTACGCACACAAACTGAGAAAAAAGGCAACCAAAAAAAATAAAAATTGGATAATGTTAGAGGTACATAAGCATCTACATAAGGGTGCCCATAATGTTGATGTGACATGTGATCACATCTTTAATTCAAATTTGACACTTACACATTAATGATCGGATGATTATCACATCAGCATTATGGATACCCTTATGTAGATACTTATGTACCTCTAGTATTATCCAAAAAAAAATATATACCGACAGGAAACGCAGAAGACAAACAGAAAAAGACGACGGCTTCACTTCGAAAAATAATCACGTTTCGTTTCGTCAATTTTTGGTAATATATTTTCACTTTTATTTGTTTAATTTAGACATTTTGGTAGTCAGATTTTTATATTGCTAGGATGAGATGAACACTTATTATGAGATTTTTGGTCTAAATAATTAGCTTGCCGTTAATTTATTTGAATGTTTGGATGTTTATTATAGTTTAACTTGTTTTTCAATTAATTGGCAATTAGTTGAGTTGTTTGTGAATTTTATTGTCATCGAGGGAGTTAATAAGTATTAATAAGTATTATGGGGTTCGATAGAGGATAGAGATGTACATTTATGCTTCACATGATTCTTAGATGTTCTAACTCGTTTAGTACTTTCTTATATGTTAGTATCTTTTATAAAAATATAAAAAAGTCACATATATGATTAGATTTAATTGCTTTGAGATGAGCTTTTAAATAAATTTGGAACTTTGATCAACTCGCATGATAACAACGAATCATTTTAATTGTTGTACTAAAAATTGAATAACAATGATGATTCTACATCTTAACAATGCATCTCAAAAATTTGATAAACTTTTACTTTGATTTCTAGTACGTGATAANTTAAATTGTTGTACTAAAAATTGAATAACAATGATGATTCTACATCTTAACAATGCATCTCAAAAATTTGATAAACTTTTACTCTGATTTCTAGTACGTGATAAACTTTTACTTTGATTTCTAGTACGTGATAAAATAGACATACATTTATTACAACTCATTATTACTATCGATTAAGGGTATTATTAATTTTAACTCGTTAAAACACATAATCCTCGTTGGTTCGACACTTAATTCACAATTACATTACTTAATTACGATCTCGTGCACTTGCGAATTTTCAAAGGGTCAAGTTTTTTGAGCCATTGTCGGGGATTATTGTTTTAATAAGTTTAATTAATTTTAGCTTTAATCTCAATTTTATTATTATTATTATTTTTAGTTTAGTTCATTATATTAGAAAAAAGTTACAGTGTTTCTTACTTCCTTTTTCAAAATCTTGTATGCGAAGTTCGAGAACCGGTGAT